TTATGAAACTAACAAGCAAAATGCCCTCTTTTGTGTGCCTCTCCTAGTTTAAACCAGGAGTTTAACACTTATTATTTTAAATTTACCTGCTCTGTAAATGTAATTTTTTTTTTTTGTTTTTTTTGTGGAACGGGGGCTTGAACTCAAGCTCTTGCGCTTGCCAGGGAAGCGCTTATTCCACTGAGCCATCTCCCTGGCTCCTGTAATGTATATTTTCACATCTCAGTTACTGTTGCTGTAATCTATTTTTATATTACACATAATGTTACATGTCATTTGCATTAGTAAACAATTTTATATCAATTGTTTAGATATAACCTTCCACCCGTCCTGTGGCCCTTCCTGGCCATTTCTGCCACGACCTTGGCTATACAGGCCACCACTGCTCTTGCTGGCTGGCATCAGCCTTCACAGGCACCTGGCTGGCATGCTGCATGAGCCTCACATACTGCAGAATGTCTCCCAGCTAATCCACTATCTCTGGGTTTTAATGCTGCAAGAAGGGAGAGGGGAGTCGGGTTTTTGTGCCTTTGTAGAAAGCTTGTTTTTTCCTGGCCTAGATATTTGTAAGTAAGGTTTCCCCTTACAGCTTGTATGCCACAACATTTACCAAAATGTGCAGGGTTATGCCTCTCCTTACCTGTTAGAATGCATACAGACCAGGTAGTTTGTACATAGTCTTTACATTTCTGTATAACTTTTATATTATTTTTGCTGATTGGAAAAATGGGTATCAAAGTTCATGTTTATTCTGTATTATGGATTTTGTAATTAAAAAATGGTTAAATATTGCCAATTTCATATAATTCAGTTTATCGGCTCTGTCTTTGGCCCACTTGAATTTGTTCCCTTTTTTTTTTTTCTTAAAGTAAGCTTCTTATTTGACAGTAGTTTTAGACTTACAGAACAATTGGGATGATAGGACAGAGCAGTGGTGACTCTACAGCATGCAGCAGAATATTTGTAGTCGCTGAAAGCTCTAAGAGCTTCCATCAGTAGTACAGAGCACTCGCACACATCCTTGCCCAGTGCCTCCTACTATCAACACGTCATGCTTGTGTGGTGCGTTAGTGACACTGATGAACCAACACTGATACACCATTATTAGCTAAAGCCCGTCATCTATTTAAATTTCCAGATTTCCTTAGCTTTTTTTCTCCAAATGTCCTTTTCCAGTTCCTCTGTCCCACCCAGGAAATCACATTATATTCCATTGTTTTGGGCCCTTGGTTTCCATTTAGCTCAAACATTCCTTATTTTTAATAACCTATTTTAGACGGACTGAAGAGCACATAACTGATATTTTACAGACTGGCCTTAAAGTAGAATCTGGCTGGTGTTTTTCTCATCACTACACTGGGGTTGTGGGAGCAAGAGGGAAGTTAAAGTACCTTTTCAACCTGTCGTCTCCAGGGGGCTGGCAGTGCTGATTATCACTGATGTTGGATGGCCTGGCCGATGAAGGGTTTGTCAGGTTTCTCTACTGTCAAATATCCTCCCTTTCGTACTGTGCTTTTTGTGAGAAAGTCATTTAAGAAGTGGGTACTTACATTTGACTCCTTGGGGCACAAACAATCTGTATAAGTTACTTGGAATTGAACTACACAGGAGATTTGTCTCTTCTCTCCCATTTAAGCATGGAATTGAGGGAATGTTTGTTTCATTCTTTGGGTTACATTCCAATACTACTTTTATTTCATTTATTTAGGGACAGAGTCTTGCTCGGTAGTCCAGGCTGGCCTTGCATTCACAGTCCTCCCAAGCGCAGTGATTATAGCTGTGAGCTGGTTTTCCAGTACTACTTTCTATTTTATTGCTCGAATATTCTGGTGTTGGCCGCTGGAGACTCTGTAGTTGGCTGTGTCCCCTTGAGCCACACCTACCAGTGTACAGCACAATAGTTATTTTAGGTATTTTCTTGCTTTCTGACACTACCAGGTACTCAAGAATCTTTCTGTGTATTTCCAGCTCCATAGAACCAGCCCTTTCTCCAAGAGGCCCTGCTCCCATTGACTGGAAAGCAGTATTAGAAGTCAGACTCTTGCTACTGGGGAAGCTACTTTGCTCTTGATCTTGATTCTGTTTTGTGTGTCCTAGTTTCTTCTTAGGATCGCCCTCTTCCAGGATCCATTACTGTTACCTTCTCTGCTACTGGATTGATTTCTTTAGCCATTTCCTCTGAGTTTGGAGAAAACAGCTCAAGTTTGTTCTCTAACTTATTGATTTTTATTTTCCTTGGCATGAACTCTGCCTCTGATGCAGATTCCTGTTCCGCTATCTGATATTTAGTTTTCTTTCTTGTCCTCTGTACCTCCTTCTCCAGATTAACCCATTATAAAACAGAAAGTTTCTTTTATGCTGCACTTTTCAGAACTTACCACCCTTTCTTTCCTGAGTATCTTGTCCATGTGTCTCCATTGTTTTGTGTCTGGACTCTGTTCTTTATGAGTGAGCATACCACAGAATCGTGAGCAAATTAGATTTGGTTTCAGGTGATAGGAAACAAACAGGGACCCACACAGGCAGAAACTCTGCTTCCTGGAGCTACATTCTAATGGGAAGGAACAGACACTAAGGCAATGTAGTAGAGTAGATAGTACATCACACATTGTACTAGGAGTGAATTATGTTCCTTCCAAAGACATTTAATTCCTATCTCCCAGAACCTCAGAATGGGCCCTTATTTGAAAATAAGGCTGTTGCAGATTAATTCGCTAGGATGAGTCCATATTGGAATAGAATTGACTTGACTCTGAATCTACCACATTGACTAGTGTGCAAAAGAGAATAATGTGAAGAGATGGGAGGAAGGACTTCAGAGGCAGACAGTGACATTATGCAGCCAAGGGCTGCCAGGACCTTTGGTGATACAAGAGAAGGGCATGGCCCTTCTACAGGGCACAGCCTTCCCACACACTGATCTCCAGAACTGGGACAGAATAAATTTTTATTGTCTTAAGTCACTTAGCTTGTGGTCTTTCAGGACAACAGTCCTAGGAAAAGAATACATATCATGGATATTAATCTATGAAATGGAGAAAAGTGGTAGAAAGGGAGAAGTGGGAATTTGAGGAACAAGGATTTCAATTTTAAACAAAGCATCCTAGGAGGCCTCTGGGAGAAAGGAATGACAAGAAAAGACTCCACAAGAGTACAACAAAAAGCCAGGTTCTTGTGAGGAAATAGGCTTCCCGTGGGGGGAAGCCTTGGCCAACAGATAGCACATCTGTCCCCAGGGCAGCAGGACATTGGAATCCTTTCTCAGCATCTCGCAAGCAGTGGGGCAAACTGGGCAACATCTTGCTGGCTGCAAGGGGTCATTCCCTTGGAGTCATTCCTTCACCACCTGGACCCTCAACCTCCACCTACCAAATGGGTATGCGAAACACCCTCTGTTTGAAGGCTGTGGAAAGGATAGAATGAGAGAATGAAGGCCCAGGGTGTCACCCCAGACCTGACCCTGCTCCAGTGCCAACAATGTGGGTCCTTATTTGCACCATCATTAATGATCCTCCTCCTTTGGTTCAGCAGGTCAGGTGATGAGCAGAGCATCTGGTTCCCTCTCATTTTCTTGCAGCCTTTCAACTTGAACCACTGCCTCAGGTACAGTCACTCTTTAAACTTGAAAGCCCTCAGAACTCTGCTGGGTCTTGGAGACCGGGAGCTATTTCAAGTGCCCACCCTGGGGAGACACCAACACAGCATCAGTCTCTCCCCAGCTTGGCCTCCTACCCCTGAGTCCTCCAGGCCCACAATGCCAAGCTGCACCCTCACATCGGACAGCTGTGGCACCATAGAGGAAGAGCTTGGGTGGAGCCAGCACCTGCTACCTGGAGGTCTCACCTGCTGCTGCCTCCTCATCTGCAGAGTCTCCCAGGGCTGCCATGGTGTTGCCTCCCTTGTGCTCTGCCTCTGGGCTTCTGGCACCCCATCTACCAACTGAGGGATTTGGAAGTGACAGCCTCACACTGCTGTCTGCTCTGCCTGATGTAAGCTGGGACCTGTCCAAGCCAGAAGGGACACAGCAACAGTTGGTGTCTGGGGTCTCCACACCAATGACATCAGATGTAGGTGTGAGTGAATGGAAGAGAAAGAGTTCACAACTCTGATGACACCTGTGTAAGCTCCCCATGGTCCTGGGATAAAAGCCCAAATGTCTTAGCTCAGCATTCACAGTTCCTGGGAACTGGCCCCTAACTCCAGCCTCAGCTCTTTCCTCTCCGTTCCCTCTGACACAGCGGGCTCTGTGGAAGTCCTGTGGCTCCCAAGCAGAGGCACAAGCCTGCCTGCACTCTGGCTTGCATGGCTCCCCTACCCTTCTGTGCAGCCTGCAAGGCCTGCCTAGAATGTTGTCCCTTCTGTAGAACCTCCTTGGAACCTTCTCCCCAGATGGGATGAGGCACTTGTTGTTCCTAAGTTCCTCTGTTTCAGGTTTCCCTGAGAAGTGTCTGTCTTCCTTGCCATGGTGTGAACCACCTGAGGACAAGGACAGGTCAAATGGCAGATGGCATCTATGAGCCCAGGAGAGCACCTGGCACGTTAAAATCATTTGAGAAAGTTTGTGCACAGAATTGGATAAGTGAAAGTTAGAGCTCTGCTTACAACTGGAGAACGTCTAGTTGGTCCTTTCTGTTCCTTGGTAACTATCACCAGATGGGGTCAAGAGCCTGTCTTTGCATGGGCTTTGGGCAAGGCAGTGGCTCTTTCAAAGCCAGTTCAACAGAGAGGCGATAACTTGTGCCATTCTCTCCCCAGGTGAGGCTGAGAGAGAAACCGCTGCAGAGGCTCTCAGGGGCATGACACACTGGCCATCCACGCCCTTGGCCAGGGCAGGGCTGCGAGTGGTGGGCTAAGCCCTGGAAAGCCAGAGCCCGGAGACTTCAATTAAGCCTGTCATGTCAAGGTTAATGTGGACTTGAGGATAACAGTGAGAGGACTTGGGGAACCCCAAATCATCATCAACAACCTATCATTGCCACACCCAGTTATGCTGCACCTACCTTGAGCTTTTTGACACTGGTGCAGGGATCATTGGAGAAGCTCTCAGTGTCTGAAATCTCGATGTCTTCCCCATATAGAACTCCAGTCAGGTCATTCCTCACCTGTGAGCAAACAGAAGTCAGAGGGTGAGTGGGTGTGCCGGTGGTCACAGGAAGAGCTGTCCAGCAAGGCCATCCTGGGAAAGCAATGCGAGTGGACAAAACAATTTTCTCTGTTCTACTGATAACATGAAGGGCATGTCCAAGACTGACACCTGGCCAGGAGCAAGGGGTCTGTAAAAGTGGCCCATGGGCTTCCTTGGACAGAAAAAGCAAGAAGAGACCGCGGCTGTGGCTGATTTTTCCCCAACACATCATCCTGTCTCCGTGTCAAGATCTCCAATAATTTCTTTGTTCATATTTTTCATTATGGATTTGCAATGAACTGTGGGTTCTAGTGAAAGAGCTCATCACGGGGACCCCACTTCCCCCTCCTGCTCTGTCACTAACTTGCTTCTGACTTTGTCCTATCTATGGTCCTCCACGTCTCTGGGTCTTGGTTTCTTCTTATTTAAGACAATTCTTACAAGCATTTCTCATTCACCTCAAGGAGAGCTATTATCAAAAAACAGAAAACAACAAGTGTTGTGAGGATGGAAAGAAAACTGGAACCTTTGCAAATTGCCAGTGGGAATGTAAAACGGTGCAGCATTCTGGAAAACAGAATGGCAGCTTCTCAAAAAAAAAAAAATTAAACAAAGAATTACCAAATGATCCAGCAATTCCATTTCTGAGTATCTATACAAAGGAAGTGAAAGCAGGGCTTTGAATAGATATTTGTTCATGGCAGCATTATGCACAGATGCCAAAAGGTGGAACCAACCCAAATGTCTATTGATGGATGGGTGAGTAAACAAACTGTGGTCTATACATACAGCAGAATACTGTTCAGCCTCACAAAGGAACGGAATTCAGATACATGGTGTAACACAGATGAACTCGAGGACCCTATGCTCCTGAGAGAAGGCAGACATAAATGCAGAAAGACTATATGATTCCAAGGTATACAACACCCGAAGGAGTCAAATTTACAGAGACAGAAAGTAGAACAGTGGTTACCAGCTGCTGGGGGAAGGGAGGAGTGGGGAGTGAGTGTTTACTAGGTACAGTCTCAGTTTGGGATGATGAAAAAGTTCTGGAGATGGAGAACGATGAGTGTTGCCTAAGAACACGAGTGTACTTAATACTACACTTAAGAATGGCCAAAATGGTAAATTTGATGTTATGTGTATTTTACCACAATAAAAAGGCATTGCTTATTCCAACAGTCAGCAGATCCTTCTAATGTGTATATCAAAGTGTTTTGAATAATCTGGCCCTAAATGTCACTGGTCACCAGGAAGCTACCACCAGGGAAGAGCAACAAAGGCAATGTCTGTGGGACCTGCCGTCTTTTATTTCTTTAAAAGAAATAGGAAAGCAAATGGAGCAAAATGTGAACATTTATTAACTCCAGCTAGCAAGTCCTTGGGAGCTTATTTTATTCTGTGCTTTTTTTTTTGAATGCTTGAAATACTTTTTGACAAATGTTTGGCAAAAAGAAAGTATCACTGGCAGGGTGAATCTTGTCCACCTGCAGTTTTCACTTCTATTTTGCTGGAAGATTGGGAACCAGTTGACCAAGAAAAGTTGCCTTTGAGAAAGGTATAGTTTATTTCTGTTGTCTCAATCCTTTTGAGGTACAAGTAGGGTCCCAGGATCAGTTGTGTATGTCCTGAAGGTGTGGCAGAGTGACTGCATTGGTTACATATAGAACTCATCCACATGTAACCCAGCTAGAGGGCAAGGCACCAGACAATAGGCAACAGCAACCCTGGCTGTCCACTTGTGTGTCCCCAGTATACAGAAAAACTTCTTGGCTTCGCCTGCATCTCTGTCTTTTCACCTGAATAATGGGCACGAATAGAAAATAACTCACAGGGTTGACTCAAAGACTAGTAGAAATATTGAGGGTATTGAATGGCTCTGTAAATTTAGCTGTATATATATTAAAAGTCAAAATGATCATTTCCAAGCATAAGATATCAATCAGAGCTTGGAATATCTATGTATGTGTGGTTGGTGTATACATGAAAACTATATCACAAATACAGCAGAATAAATTATTTTATAAGCAATCAGAACTCACAAAACAAAACAAAACACCAGAGGCCACCCCATCCACCGCTTATTTCACAGATGAGGAAACAAAGGGGTGACTTCCAGCCTAGTGTTCTTCCCACTCTTCCAGGATGACCCTTCTGGACCTTACCAAATGTGGACATTTCCAAGGCCCAGTGAGCCTGAAGAAGCCAGAACAGATGGTCAGTGCCACCAGTCACTGGCTGCCCATCGTCCCAGCACCAAGGAATCTGTGCTTGGCTCGTGTGTGTACTCTAATGGACTTCTCAGGGAAGGCAAGCAGAGGACGTCAACGATAAATGATATTTTTGAGTAACCGATGCATGGGGAAAATGTAATTGATCCTCCTCACAAGGTAAAATTGACACTCTCATATAGAGACAGAATGATCCTTTAGCTGACTTGTGAAAAACTGACTGAGCAAACCTGCAAACACCTGGGTTTCCTCCTAGACCGGCAGGTATCTTGTTTCATGGAGCCAGCAATTTACTATACACTGCATTTCTGTGATGGGAATTCTATGTTTGCATTCATCTCCATTATAAAAGCAAAAACATATTCCTATGGGAAATGAGTAATCTTTAATCCTAAGGAAATAAAAACAGATATTGTCACGGCTTAAATTTGAAGTGTTTCCCTAAGACTCATATATAGGGGCTTGGTCCCCAGTGTGGCAAAGTTCGGAGGTGGGGCCTAGAGAGGCCAGGAGGGTGTTAACCTTATCCATGGGTTAAACCACTGAGGACCTCAGAGCCTGGGCTGTTAGGAGGTGGGGCCGGGGAGGTGGTGGCTCACAGAGGCAGCCTTTGAGGGTGCTATGCTCAAAGCCCCTTGCTCTCTGGCTCCTTCTCCTTCTCGCAGCTTCCTGCTGCCATGAGGTGAGCAGCTTTGCTGCCGCATGCCCTTCTGCCATGGTGTTTGTGGTCTAGCTGTAATGGTGCCAGGTGTCCATGGACTGAACCCTCTGACTGTCCATCTAAATAACTGTTTCCTCCTGGAAGTTGTTATTTTTAGGTGTCTGGTCGCAGCATCAGAAAGCTGACACAGGCACTCTTTAGCTCGCAATAGTGTTACATCTGAATAGATCCAGCATAAATTGAAAATAGCCTGTGTAAAAAATGAGTTGAACACTCCTAGCTCTTGAAGCATCCTGGCTTGGTACAGTCAGCTGTGTCCTGTCCTATGACCACATGGCTCACAGAGCACTGCCACTGCCCAGCACTGTGAGAATCACACTAGTATCACTAGAAGTGATCCAAATTCAAAACTCCCAAGCATGGTTCCTACTGAATGGGAAATATTTTGTTTGTTTGACATAGGATTTTGCTCTGCAGTTCAGGGTGGTTTTGAAGTCACTACAGAGCTCAGGCTAGCCTCAAACTCACAGCAAGCCTCCTGCCTCAGCCTCCCAAGTAATGGAATTACAGGCATGGTATGAATCATTTTTACATCATTACAAAGTCCTTAAATTGTCACCCAAACCATCCCAATTTGGGGACACTCTCACAGTCACTCTCAAGCAGAGCCAGGGTCTCCTGGGACCTGTTCTGCATGATGGGCTCCAGTGAGCAGCTACCATGAGTCTTATTTGTTTCTAGGCCCAAGACAAGCCAGGAGGGATGGAGAGACACTGGTGCAGAGGGCAGGGAAGGGAGCTGGAGGCAGTCTGCTCTATCACCTGGAAGTGAGAGCAGGAATATGAAGGCTATGAACAGCTACCCAGAGCTGCTAGAGGAAGGTGAGGAAGAGTGTGTTGCTATAGACCAGGGCCTCCAGGCCAGCCTCGGGCGACTCGCTGCCTTAGAACAGAGAATCCAGGCTCAGCCATAGGAACAATCCTAATGGAGCCACAGAAATCATTTGGCAGCACTAAAAAGAAGAGGGTGGGGAACGAACAACGTGCAACAGGAGACTTGGGGGCAACAGCTGCTAACCTTCCTGAAGAACGAGTAAGGACTGTGGCTATGAGGTGATACTAGGATGTGCTGAACAAGGCCTCTGAGTGGTTTGATGCATGCTCAGACTTGAGATCCACTGTCCTAAAGGAAACAAGATCAATGAAATGAGTGATTGATGATGGTGTGAAAAGAAAGTTTGAGCCATTTGCCCTCTGCTCTGATTAGCAGACCAGAATGTATTAACAGAATAAAGCTATTGTCAAAAAGATGAGTGGGACTAGGAATCACATTTCAAAAGGCATCACTTCTAGAATGAAGGAGGGGACATCAATGCTCTGTTCCCTCTCAGGCCACCCCAGGGTTACTGGGCTCAGTTCTGAGTGTCTTTTATCAGGGATGGTGACAAAGTGCCTCCTGCTCAGAGGGGTCATTCATGTGGCTAAGACAAGAGCAAGGACCTGTAGAATGGGCAGTTGAGGACTATAAGGGCTTCAGCCTCTTCGGAGACTCCTGAGCAGCTGGGGAATGGAAGATCCCACGACAAGAATGTCCACATTTGAACTCAGACTTCAAGCTTTAGGGAAGGCCAACACTGCAAGAAGACAAGAGTGGGAGGAGGCAGCTGTGGCTCCAGAGAACCGGGAGCAGTAGCTTGCTGAGCAGAGCAAATGCCGCCAGGTCAGATCAGCATCTCAGCACCGGGACCAGTGTGTCTGTGCAGCACCTTTTGCCCATTTGTGTGAGGAGGCTGACAGGGACCTTTCAGTTCAAAGGGGCCATCACAATGACCTCACTCCTCTAGCTGACTGAGTGCAAACCTCCATTCACATGCTGAGCATGGGAACATGCAGCTGACCTCCATCCATACCTGACAAGATGTCAGGGCAGGGCAGGAGTAGAGGGGGAGAAGAGGAGGAGAGCAGCAGAGAGGTGGAAGGCAAATGGAGCTGGATCCACAAAGGAGTGGCGGTGGGTGGATGGAGCGTGTGGAGAGTGCTCAGCACAGAGAAGGGGGCACCTCAGTTCTCTGGTCTCTCTCAGGCC